TCGTTGTAGTAACATATCACCACTAAACCTGGTTCTCGTTTAAATCAAGCACTTAACCACTCTAATCATTTCAAACCAGTATTATTTTAAATTTGTGTTTTCATAGGTTTTATGAACCTGGAATATCTAAAGATAGTGTAACAGCACGAAATCTGTCCATAGTTTTCTCATTTCAGCGTTGGCCATTCCAACCGACGGCGCGAAATTCAAACAAACATTCGAAAAGTTACTTTCACTATTTTTCCCGAGGAAAATAATTTTAACGGCTTGAGTGCCCCCCCCCCCTCGTGACAGTCGAATCAAGACTTGAAGCAATTGGGCCCCGGTTCGTCTGATGTCAGACTTTTCTCTCGGCCCACGTCTGACGGCAGAGCTAGCTGACTTTGCGACTAAGTTCAAACTGGCTTAACGCTATAGGGGGCAAAAAAAAGGTCGCCCCATCTTTTGATATGTTGTTCTCTGTGCTTCAAAACGCCTAAATAGCCATACCAATTTTGATCAAAATTTTATTTTTCTGTCAGCACTTAGTCGCACCGATGGCCGAAGACCAAAAACACTAAGTCCCCGCTGGTTCACACTATATGGGTGGAAAAAAAATGTCCAACCATCTATTGATATGTTATTCGCCATGCTTCAAAACGCCCAGATATCTTCATCTTAAATTATCGATTTTTTGAAAAATATTTAGACTTAGAAACTTTTGAGCACTTTGCTGTGCGGCTTTCGGTGCTTGCTCGGCAAAAATTTAGCATGATGGCTTCAATCCGAAGCCACCAGGCCAAAATGCGAAAAAAAGCCGGTAGGCTTCCAAAAGAAGCCAGTTCTCCTCCTCGCAGCAGGTAGACCCCGGAGGGATCGGGGCGGGGGTGGGGCCGGCCAGCCGAATTAGCCGAGAGGCTAGGATCTAAGCCACCCGGCTACGAGAGAACAAAGGCGGGTCCCAAAAAGAAGCCAGAATGCTTCGACATAGCCCGTTCCTAGCCAAAACGAAGCCTCTTATTTTGCTTCGGGTTGGTGGCCAACAACTGACAGACCTTCCAGCTCTTCGCGGCCGGGACCTACCCGTCGACCCAGACCCAGTTCAACCGAGCAGCCTTGGTGGCCAACAACTGACGGACCTGCCAGCTCTTCTCGGCCTGGTCCTACCGGCCGACCCAGACCTAGTTCAACCGAGCAGCCTTGGTGGCCAACAACTGACGGACCTTCCAGCTCTTCTCGGCCTGGTCCTACCCGGCGACCCAGACCTAGTTCAACCGAGCAGCCTTGGTGGCCAACAACTGACGGACCTTCCAGCTCTTCGCGGCCTGGTCCTACCGGCCGACCCAAACCTAGTTCAACCGAGCAGCCTTGGTGGCCAACAACTGACGGACCTTCCAGCTCTTCTCGGCCTGGTCCTACCGACCGACCCAGACCTAGTTCAACCGAGCAGCCTTGGTGGCCAACAACTGACAGACCTTCCAGCTCTTCGCGGCCTGATCCTACCCGGCGACCCAGACCTAGTTCAACCGAGCAGCCTTGGTGGCCAACAACTGACAGACCTTCCAGCTCTTCTCGGCCTGGTCCTACCCGGCGACCCAGACCTAGTTCAACCGAGCAGCCTTGGTGGCCAACAACTGACGGACCTTCCAGCTCTTCTCGGCCTGGTCCTACCCGCCGACCCAGACCTAGTTCAACCGAGCAGCCTTGGTGGCCAACAACTGACGGACCTTCAAGCTCTTCTCGGCCTGGTCCTACCGGCCGACCCAGACCTAGTTCAACCGAGCAGCCTTGGTGGCCAACAACTGACGGACCTTCAAGCTCTTCTCGGCCGGGACCTACCCGCCGACCCAGACCCAGTTCTACGGAGGAGCCTTGGTGGCCAACTGACGTAGCTTCCAGCTCTGCTCAACCGAGGCCTAGCACTACGGAGTGACACTGAAGAGTGATGAAATGTTGAAAGTAAAGTTTCATTAAAAGATAGATAGATATTAAGTGCAGTACCATTTATTGATTGTCAGATTCTCTAAAACCCTAGACGGTTTAACACATACATGTTGCTTGATACTATTTCTTCCCAAAGTATCGGAGTAGTTTCCTTTTTTATTGCTGAAGTAGTTTCCAAACTGATAAGTATTTTTTCTTAAAATCACAGAGAAGTAAGTGATACACTCTTTTTTGCACTATGTACACAATATGTACCCAGGTAGCATACATCAAGTTCAATGACCAGCCTTAGAGAAAAATACAGGTTTCCACATTTCAACATTATATTATTTAACACTCTCTATTGAACAAAACTCCTATCAAACAATTCCACAAGAATAAAGGAATATATACATTTCAAAGGGAAGTCTACTACATAAATTACATTTACCATTCCAATAAAAGTCTTTTAGGAGAGAAGAAGGCAGGGGCAGTAGGCTGCTAGCCCATAAAACATCTCCTCTGCACTAGCAGGGCAATTCACCTACTGAAACAAGGACAATATCTTTATAATTTGCAAGATTAAATTGCACGCTGTATTATTGCTACACATCCGACACTATCACAGATCACCTCAAGGAACGAGTGATGACTAGGTTTCACTATTGCACTGTATTTTGACTCACTACAATTAAATGAATAACAAAAAAAGACGTCTCTTCAAAGAAATTGGGGAGATATGGATTATGTTCTATCTGGTTTACAAACTGATGCAGGAGGATCACACAGGTACTGTTGGTGAGATCACAAAGCATCAAACATTTTGGTCAAAAAATGTACCAAAAACTGCAGAATTTAGTCCAAGGAAATAGCATGTGTACAATTTTATCTTAACCCTTTCAAGCCTTTTCTAATCGATAGTAAACAAGTTGTATACAATTGGAAAAACAGGCAAGGCTTATCTGACAACCAGTGATGGAAATTTAATTTATAAAATATCATATCAATCACAAAAATGATTGCCAAATATTTTGC